TGAATTATAGAGCTCTCTAACTGAATTAGAGAGCTCTGCAATTACATTCTTACTAGTAAGAATTCAATTAGAGAGCTCTACAGATCAATCCTTACTAGTAAGAATTACAATTAGAGAGCTCTCTAATTCAATTGTTACTAGTAAGAACTAAAGTAGAGAGCTCTATAATTCAATTACAGAGCTCTGCAATTAAGCATATCTTTCATTTGTTTTTTACTAGTAAAAAACAAATGAAAGATATGCTTAATTGCAGAGCTCTCTAATTGGAATTCTTACTAGTAAGGATTACAATTAGAGAGCTCTCTAATTGGAATTCTTACTAGTAAGGATTACAATTAGAGAGCTCTCTAATTGGAATTCTTACTAGTAAGGATTACAATTAGAGAGCTCTCTAATTGGAATTCTTACTAGTAAGGATTACAATTAGAGAGCTCTCTAATTGGAATTCTTACTAGTAAGGATTACAATTAGAGAGCTCTCTAATTGGAATTCTTACTAGTAAGGATTACAATTAGAGAGCTCTCTAATTGGAATTCTTACTAGTAAGGATTACAATTAGAGAGCTCTCTAATTGGAATTCTTACTAGTAAGGATTACAATTAGAGAGCTCTCTAATTGGAATTCTTACTAGTAAGGATTACAATTAGAGAGCTCTCTAATTGGAATTCTTACTAGTAAGGATTACAATTAGAGAGCTCTCTAATTGGAATTCTTACTAGTAAGGATTACAATTAGAGAGCTCTCTAATTGGAATTCTTACTAGTAAGGATTACAATTAGAGAGCTCTCTAATTGGAATTCTTACTAGTAAGGATTACAATTAGAGAGCTCTCTAATTGGAATTCTTACTAGTAAGGATTACAATTAGAGAGCTCTCTAATTGGAATTCTTACTAGTAAGGATTACAATTAGAGAGCTCTCTAATTGGAATTCTTACTAGTAAGGATTACAATTAGAGAGCTCTCTAATTGGAATTCTTACTAGTAAGGATTACAATTAGAGAGCTCTCTAATTGGAATTCTTACTAGTAAGGATTACAATTAGAGAGCTCTCTAATTGTAATACTTACTAGTAAAATGTCAATTGTAGAGCTCTGTAATTAAAAAGGAATGGAAGTCAATGGAAACATATAACTAGTAAAAATTCATTTGTAGAGCTCTCTAATTTAAATTGTTACTAGTAAGAATTGAAATAGAGAGCTCTGTAATTGGAATTCTTACTAGTAATAATTGAATTAGAATAAATAAACTGGCATTGTTACTAGTAAGAATTTAATTGTAGAGCTCTCTAATTGAATTGTTACTAGTAAAAATGCAATTGCGACGAGTAACACTGGGATAATTTTAAGCTAAAACGGCTTGCCATATCTGTGCTTACAGCTCATTTCTGTGTCGTACGATGTTTACCTCCTCCAGGGGGCGCCTGGTGGCTCAGAAAGTCAATAACATCAATTGAGACGCATTCAAATCTTCGGATGTTTTTATCTTACTGGATATATTTTTTACACGAAAAAAAATGTTAATTATATTAATACCAATTCATGGTATCATACAGCAAATGCAAATACATTACGACATTACTATTATTAAATAAAATGTCTGGGCCAGTAATCACATTGATTGGTCAATCCTGACTAGCGCGGAAAAAACAGGCACCACATAGCCTACGTGTTTTTACTACATCGTCATCGGTTTTAACCTAAATAATAACATCGAAACCTTTAATAGCTACTGAATTGATAGCTTATTGTAAAGCGTTCACATTTGTTAATTATTATTTACACACTTTGCACCCCGCCTATTTTTTATTTATTTATTTTTTTTAGATATATTTTATGTTAATTTCCATTCTAGTTTATTCCATTTCTGTGGTAGGACATTGTGTTCTGTTCCACAAGTCAAGTTTGTATTGGAGATGATTCATCCGATGACGAGAGAACAGGACAATAAGTGACAATTGTGTTGAGTGAACATCACTGAACATTTGGAGTATTGTACTACATAGTGGAACAAAGAGGGAAACAGAGTAACAGTGTTTGCTGATCAGCTTAGTTTGAATACATTTGCATATGCCTACTTTAGTTCAGTTGAAGATTCAAATCCTTGAAAGATTCAAGTCCTTAACCATTTTCGGACAACTTCAGTTTTGATAAATGACATATAAAACAAAGACTTTGAGGTTTAATTGCCCAATGTTGTGAGGTATTCAGTAATTAAATATTGTTTATTAATGATCAAATAATAATAAAATAAAGAAATACGTCATTCATTTATTAGTTAAATTAAAAAGGAATATTTACGGAGCCCAAAAATTACCGCTTTATTGACCACCATATATAGTACAAATATTGCTTTGGACTACTTACATATTTTATTGAATTAAGTTTAACAGAAGTATGACACAAAGCTGTTATTGTAAATAAGAGAAAATGTTTATAATTATGTTAATTATGGTTGTTGATCAGTAGTAGGCCTGCTGTTTAAATGTAGATGTTATTTTTAATTTACAGATTTCTGAATTGCATACTTAAAAAAAAATCAATTACTTTGACTGCAGCTTACAGTTTAATTCATTGTTGAGAGTCATCAACTGCTTCAGAAATCCTCGGTTTGGAAAGATCCATCTTCTTTCTTTCACTTTCAAAATGGCATCCACCAGAGAGTAATTGCAATATATCATTAGGTAAGCTAAGACCAGAGCAGCTGAACGGCTCACTCCCACAGCACAATGCACAAACACTTTAGCTGTTGAAAAAAGATGCTTCAATACTTTATATATTCTCAATTATTAACTGATAAATAAAAAACAAAAAAATTAAAATGAATTTTAAGAAGTAAAAAAATAAATCCTAACCAGTGTTATTCATGTGTAAAAATATCATACTGTTTAAAAAATGGAAATTATGTTGTTGTTTTTAACATACCACCTGTTGTGCTGAGAGCATCATGAATGTAGTGTGCTGAAGGGTAGAAAAATGATGAAATATCAAATGTAGGCAGGTCATTTGCCGGCACACCATAGTACTTTACGGTTGTCCCATAAAAATCATCACTTCCTTTGCAACACATTTTACCATGTGCAGCATTTAAAACATGAGTTATACCCAGTCTCCATAGGCCATATCTGTCATGAGACATGTACCTGCATGAAAGAATTACATAATAAAGGGTGAATGTTTTCTTTTAATCAACACATAAGAAGGAGAGAAATCCCACATAAATGCACTTACATGTCCCCCAGAAACAAATTTGGCCACACTTCATCGACATGGTTACAGGATAGCTGACCCCCATGTAATATATCCTCCAGCTCTTCAATAGAGGGACTTTCAGACAAAATTCGATCTACATTCTCCATTTTCAGGGATAACAGAAGAGCAGTGGGAAGAACCCACAACTTTTTGACTAGGCTACATGAGTGACATTTCCAGGTGTGACACGTAGCCTACTTCTGCATTACCCTGTTTACCCCAGTAGATGTCAGTGTATGGCCATTCATTCAAGTCCTTTCCCAACTATGTCAAAGCAAGCCTTTACGCAGCAAATTGTTAATAAACCAAAATCACTGACATGTGTGTCTCCATTTTGAAGTGTGTGACTGTTGTTGTTTTTTGTTTTTTTTTGCTTTCAAATACTGATTATACAACGAGTACAATAAGTCTAAACTAGATTCGGAATGAACAGTGAAGTGTCGTTTCTGAACGAACTAAAGGAAAGTTGAGTGATTCAAGAGAATCGATTCACTGGAGTGAATCAAATCCCCCAGTCTGTCAACCTGGTCAGAACGCTACACGGTCAGCACCAACTGCGCCTGCGCCAGTCTTTCCACAGCCGGGCACGCGCCTTCCCTATCCGAACGCACGCGCTTCGAGTCTTCCCGCAACATCCTCGAGAAGTTTAGTCACGAGAGACCCGAGGGGAGCGACCGTTGATCAAGGCGCGACAAACATCCACCTTAACACCGTGAGCAGTGTCCACTGGCCTGCTAGTGTTCTATGGTTTGTTTAATCGGTTTTATCGAAACAGTTTTGGTTGGCTAA